GGAGAGGAGAGGAGAGGAGAGGAGAGGAGAGGAGAGACTGGATTTATACCCTGCCCTTCACTACCCGAAGGAGTCTCAGAGCAGCTTACCATCTCCTTCCCGTTCCCACAACAGACACACCCTGTGAGGTAGGTGGAGCCGAGAGAGCTCTTTCGAGAACTGCTCCTGAGAGAACAGCTCTGAGAGAACTTGTGACTGACCCAAGGTCACACCAGCGGCTGCATGTGAAGGAGCAAGGAATCAAACCCGGTTCTCCCAGATTAGAGTCTGCGCGCCTAACCCCCTACGCCAAACTGGCTCTCGATACAGATACTCAAACCGCCTCTCGTTTCCACGGCAAACATTCCCGGCCCTCCTCTTCGAGAGCGACGGTGGATCCGCAGCCTGTCTCCATGAAGTCCCCGTCTCAGGTTTCTCGATGTCACTCCGACAACACTCCTTGCCCAACCATACAATGCCACGCGCACTCTCTGCCCCACCCACACTCACTTTCCAGGTGGCGGACTTGAGGTTGACGGTGCGCCCCCGGGTAGTCAGGGTGCTCTTCATGCGCAAGGAGAAACTGCGCTCCGTCTTCACTTCCTTCTTCTTTGAAAAACCTGTGGAAGGCGAGGGTAAAAAAAAAAGACCGTAAAGAGGCGGGGCAGGAAGAAGGCAAAGGGAAGAGGAACAGGTGGGCAAGGGTTGAGCGTCTTTTCCGACATGGAGACTGGGGAGCCCAGGTTGATAAAGGGTCGACTTGTTCTAGCGCAGTGCTTCTCAACCTGTGGGTCGTGACCAATGTTCTCTCTAAGCTGTGGAGTCTTGTGAGCAAAAATTCCACAGTGTGAGCTTCTGGCATTAAACTGGTGAGCGAGCAGTTTGGCTGCTGCATCAATTAGTTTGCTCTGGAGCCCTCCTTCCTGAGCAAAGGCAAACACGTGTGAGCCAGAGGCTAAAAAACTGTGAGCTCGCTCACACTAACTCAGCTTAGAGGGAACACTGGTCGCGACCCCTTTGGGGGTCGAACGACCCTTTCACAGGGGTCGCCTAAGACCATCGGAAAATTCGTAACAATGAAAATACATCCTGCATATCAGATATTTACGTTACGATTCATAACAGTAGCAGAATGACAGTTATGAAGTCGCAACGAAAATAATTTTATGGTTGGGGGGTCACCACAACATGAGGAACTGTATTAAAGGGCCGCGGCATTAGGAAGGTTGAGAACCACTGTTCTAGCGGCTCTGAGACCGGAAAAAGGGGGGGGG